TTGCTTAACTACCTGTAGGAATTGTGCTGAAGGACTTTTTACACATTATCCCATTTAAACTTCCCAGTGCTCTTAAGATTGCTTAATTTATTTCTTGTTTTTTTTTTCCATTTATTTTTATTCGTTGGAGGCTCATTACTTTACAATATTGTAGTGGTTTTTGCCATACATTGACATGAATCAGCCATGGATTTACATGTGTTCCTCATCCCGATCCCCTCTCCCCTTAATTTATTTCTTAGAAAGGTGATCATGTATACAATACTAATTGAGAAAGGTATAAAAAGGTTTGCAGTGAAAACTTACTCTCTGCCACAGGGCCCTCCAATCATCAGTTCTACCTCCGTACCACTGCTTCTGATGTCTTTTTTTTTTTTTTTAATTAATTATTTTATTTTTTTTTTTATCACAACCATAGTGTATCTTTCTTTTTTTTTTTTTAAATGTATTCCCCATCCCGGTCCCCCCTCCCCCCTCCCTCTCCACCCAATCCCTCTGGGTCTTCCCAGTGCACCAGGCCCGAGCACTTGTCTCATGCACCCAACCTGGGCTGGTGAACTGTTTCACCCTAGATAATATACGTGTTTCAATGCTGTTCTCTTGAAACATCCCACCCTCGCCTTCTCCCAGAGTCCACAAGTCTGTTCTATACATAGGAGTCTCTTTTTCTGTTTTGCACATAGGGTTATCGTTACCATCTTTCTAAATTCCATATATATGTGTTAGTATACTGTAATGGTCTTTATCTTTCTGGCTTACTTCGCTCTGTATAATGGGCTCCAGTTTCATCCATCTCGTTAGAACTGATTCAAATGAATTCTTTTTAATGGCTGAGTAATATTCCATGGTGTATATGTACCACAGCTTCCTCATCCATTCGTCTGCTGATGGGCATCTAGGTTGCTTCCATGTCCTGGCTATTATAAACAGTGCTGCGATGAACATTGGGGTACACGTGTCTCTTTCAGATCTGGTTTCCTCGGTGTGTATGCCCAGAAGTGGGATTGCTGGGTCATATGGCAGTTCTATTTCCAGCTTTTTAAGAAATCTCCACACTGTTTTCCATAGTGGCTGTACTAATTTGCATTCCCACCAACAGTGTAAGAGGGTTCCCTTTTCTCCACACCCTCTCCAGCATTTATTGCTTGTAGACTTTTGGATAGCAGCCATCCTGACTGGTGTGTAGTGGTACCTCATTGTGGTTTTGATTTGCATTTCTCTGATAATGAGTGATGTTGAGCATCTTTTCATGTGTTTGTTTGCTTCTGATGTCTTATGTGTTCTTTCAGAAATATGCTGTAAATACATAAACATAATCATATGTAACTATGTGGATATATTTTATTTTAAAGATTTTTACACAAAATGGAGTTATTACTTTGCATATAATTCTGCATCTTTTTTTCAATGAGTGTTTCATGTCAGTGGGTGTAGAATTGCCTCATTCTTTTCTTTTTTTGCTGCACTGGGTCTTAGTTGTGGCATGTGGAATCTAGTTCCCTGAGCAGGTATCGAACCCAGGCCCCCTGCATGGCCAGTGCGGAGTTTCAGCCACTGGACCACCAGGGAAGTCCCGCCTCATTCTTTTTAACAGATATACTGTAGTTGATTTTACCAGTCCCATTGATAATAGTCCCTTTTCTTTTAATAGATAAGTTCGACCCATATATATTTATTGGAGGGACTCATATATTTGGTTTTAGTTCTATTTTTAATATTTTCTTTTAAAAAACTTTCATTATCAGGACTGTACTTGCTTTGGGAGGTGGGTGTATTCTGGTGTAGGTTCTGATGATTTGAAAGAGTTACCTTGTTATTCTAGTGATTGTGTGTAAGTTTATACCATGTTTCTTCAGACAGTGTCTGTTGACTTCCTACCATGAGTAATGATGAAATTAGTACTATTTCCTGCCTCCTTCCCACCTGCTTTTAGTTGATTATAGTTATTTTTCTTAGTTTTATATCTTTAAACATACCTGTATATTAGGGCATCAAAGAATGAGATGGCTGGATGGCATCACCAGTGCAGTGGACATGAACTTGGGCAAACTTCAGGAGATGATGAGGGACAAGGAGGCCTGGCATGTTGCAGTCCACGGGGTCATAAAGACTCAAACACGACTGGGAGACTCAGCAACAACAACATACCTATATATTGCTTGAACTACCAGTTATAAGTATCTTTTGAGCCTTGTCAGTAAAAGATGAGGAAATCAGTCTACTTATTGCTGCCCACTTTTCCTCCATCCCACTTTAACCTTTGCCAATTACATTATTTTTTGCCTTCTCTTCTGCAACCAGAAAGCCTCAAATTTAAGGTTCAATCTTTACAAAGTTTTAAAAATTTACGTACTGATTGACTCTTGGCTGCACTGGGTCTTGGTTCTATGTGGGGGGCTACTGTTCACCTGTGGTGCAGGGGCTTCTTTTGTCGCAGAGTCCAGGTTCTAGGTGGGCAGGCGGGCTCCAGGAGTTGCAGCGTGTGTGCTCAGTAGTTGCGATTCTCCGGCTCTAGAGCTTGGGCTCAGTGGTTGTGGCAGACGGGCTTAGTTGCGCTGGGGCGAGTGGAAGCATGTGGAGTCTCTTCAGAACAGGGATCGAACCTGTGCCCCCTACATTGGCAGGCAGATTCTTGTCCACCACCAGCCTTTTGCCATGCCATAGTTTCTCCATTCATTATATTATTAATTGAAGTTTTTCCTCTAGTAGTTTCTTCAGGAAGGAGTCAAGGAAACCAGATTCCCTGAGTTCTTAACACGCTGAAGCGTGCTTTTCTGTTGCCTGTGTACTTAAAACAACAGTTTGGCTTAGTATACAGTTATTTCAGGTCACTCTTTTTTTGTTGTTTTTTTTTAAAACTGTGAACTACTGTAGAAAAGTACAGAAAACAATTGTGTGGTATGGTAACTTGATAAGCTTGATAAATAGTCAGAAAGTGAACGCCCCGGAAGCCCCCGTGTCTGTTTTCTATCACACCTCCTTCCTTCCCCACCAAGAGATAACCACATCCTTTTATGTTAACCACTCCGTGCTTCCTTTATTGTGTTGCTAGTATGGATGATCCCTAAGGGATAGAAATCATTTTTGCCAGTTTGTGAAGTATGTATAAATAGAATCATACAGTATTTACTCTTTTATTCTTTGCTTGTTTTTTTTGTTCAACGTGACATTTGTAAGATCCATTCACATTACTTGCAACCTTACACCATTTATTTACATTGCTGTAAAGTGTTTTATTACATGAACACATGGAAGTTTATTTCACTGTTGATAGACAGTTGGGTTATTTCTAGTTTGGAGCTAAAAGGATCCATAATGCTATCAGTTCAGTTCAGTCACTCAGTTGTGTCCGACTCTGTGACCCCATGAACTGCAGCACGCCAGGACTCCCTTCCATCACCAACTCCGGGAGTTTACTCAAACTCATGCCCATTGAGTCGGTAATGCCATCCAACCATCTCATCCTCTGCCGTCCCCTTCTCCTCCCACCTTCAAACTTTCTCAGCATCAGGGTCTTTTCAAATGAGTCAGCTCTTTGCATCAGGTGGCCAAAGTATTGGATTCAGCTTCAGCATCAAAGTTTCAGCTTCAACATCAGTCCTTCCAATGAATATTCAGAACTGATTTCCTTTAGGATGGACTGGTTGGATCTCCTTGCAGTCCAAGGGACTCTCAAGAGTCTTGTCCAACACCACAGTTCAAAAGCATCAATTCTTCGGTGCTCTGCTCTCTTTATAGTCCAACTCTCACATCCATACATGACTACTGGAAAGACCATAGCCTTGACTAGATGGACCTTTGTTGGCAAAGTAATGTCTCTGCTTTTTAATATGCTGTCTAGGTTTGTCATAGCTTTTCTTCCAAGGAGCAAGCATCTTTTAATTTCATGGCTACAGTCACCATCTGCAGTGATTTTGGAGCCTGAAAAAATAAAGTCTCTCACTGTTTCCATGGTTTCCCCATTTATTTGCCATGAAGTGATGGGACTGGATGCCATGATCTTAGTTTTCTGAATGTTGGGTTTTAAGCCAGTTTCTTCACTCTCCTCTTTCACTTTCATCAAGAAGCTCTTTAGTTCTTCATTTTCTGCCATAAGGGTGGTGTCATCTGCATATCTGAGATTATGAACACTTTTATATGTGTTTCCTGATACACATATCTTTGTTTCTCTAAAGACACATATATATATGTGTGTCTTTGGTCTTAGGGGATGCATATTTTGTTCTTCCTCAGTTAGCCAAACTTTTTCTAAGTGGTTCTATCAGTTTACACCCCTGCCAGCAGCTGTGAGAGCCCCCGGTCACTCCTCCCTTGATTTGTGGTGCGCTTCACTGTGGTCCAGGTGGTCCTTTGGGGTAGGCGATATTCCAGTTTTACAGATAAGAAAGCATGTTCAAAGTGGTCAGGTAGTTTAGTGAAAGTTTATAGTGAATGCCACAACCTGCATTTGAACTGTATTCTCTCCAACTGTAAGCCTTCCCATGCTGCCTTTATGGATAGAACTTCCTGATAATTGCATTAGGGTGCTGAAACCTCACCAGGGAAGATGAATTTTTTTTTTTTTAAAGAGCAGGTTGCGGACTTCCCTGGTAGCACAGTGGAAAAGAACCTGCCTGCCAATGCAGGGGACATAGGTTCGATTCCTGGTCCGGGAAGATTCCACATGCCTTGGAACAACTAAGACTGGGTGCCACAACTATTGAGCCTGCACTTCAGAGCCTGAGCTCTGCAACAAGAGAAGCCACAACAGTGAGAAGCCTGAGCACCACAACTGGAGAAAGCCCTTGCACAGCAACAAAGATCCAGTGCAACCAGAAATAAATAAAATTAAAAAAAATAAAAAAATAAAGAGCAGGTTGCCGTCCTTCGGCTTGGGCATAATTGTTCTTGGAGGTAACCTGTTTCTCAGAGTCCCTTCCAATGTTGTGATGCAGGTGGTACTCACCCAACATATCTACCTTCCTGACAACTTGTGTCTTCCTTTTTTTTCTCACTTTTAGCATCCAGCCCGTGTATGGAGCACAGCACCCTCCTCTAGACCCTCGGCTCACCAAAAAGTAAGTCAAGATATTTTTCCTCTCATGCATGGACTTCTTCTAAAACCCGTGGAACCCTCCCCTACTTTGTAGAAGTGACAGTTTCCGCTTCGACCTTTTCTAGCTTCTCCTCTGTTCTGTTTTGGATCAGAAGATGAACAGTCTTCTTACTTCTAAGCAGTCTGTCACTAAGTGGAAAATTAAGTTACATCAAAGATCTTTTTCTTATGTTGCAAGTTGGTTTATATAGGGTTTGTCTCTGTTCTGTGAGAAGGTCTTTATTTGGTAAATATTGTCCTAAAATTGGCTGATTGATGATCTTCTGGCTTCTGGAGACCATGCTTCTGTATATATATAGATAGATAGATAGACAGATAGATACACCTCCCCTCTTCCTTACTTACTGTCTGAGAACCAGGGCAAATAGAACTTAACTATGGAGCTGGCATTCTCCAGATCCTTTTTCTCTTTGACACACTCAAGGAAACCCAGCCAGCCAGTGGAGTTAAAAGCTCCCTAGAGGCTATTTCTCCTAGTAAAATTCTAATAAATTATTTTCAAACACAGAAGAGCCATAGTTAAATCCCAGATGTGTGGGTGTGTATTCATACCCCCAATTATCACTTTATCACACCTTTCTCTCATAGGCCATCGTTCAGTCACAGTAAGTTTAAATGATGGGTCATCTTCTCACATGTTCTAAGAACTTTGGCCTCTCTCTTTTTGCAGGTTTAATCTTAGAATCTTACCTCTAGGAAAGCTGTCATTCGTAGTGAAAGCTGAATGATTTAAGGAGTACAGGAGACCTAGATTTTCATCCTTCTGGGGCCTATGTCATAATAGCCACCCTTTCTTCCTTCATAGTCAGTGGGGAAGTAAAGAGAATGCACATTAAAGTATTTTGAATACCTGGAAAAATACCTTACAAATGTGCATTATCAATATTTTAATATTCTTTTAATAACTTAGCTGAATGTGTGGTGAACTTTTCTCTAATTCCACCAACCCATTCTTTTTTCAATTTGGCCAATATGTAGAAGGTACAGTCGAGGAACAGGGAGGCCTGGCGTGCTGCAATTCATGGGGTCGCAAAGAGTCGGACATGACTGAGCGACTGAACAGTCTTCTGAAATACTGTGAAGCATGACTGCTGTTCATTTCCATAAAATGCAGTTTTGTTTTGTTTTTTTTAATCAGGTATCTCCAGTGTAAGCTTGCTGAGGGCTGGGACTTTGTTTTATTCACCACTGTGCCTTAACACCCAGACAAGCAGAAAAGACAATTCAGTAAATGTTACTATAAAACATTTATTGCCCTTATTTTAGGTCCTAAGGTACTAAGTAAATATTTATGAAAAGAAGGAATGAAATCCCTCCATTTACTTAGATAGTAGGTTTTTCTTTAACATTTCTTAGTATATATCTTGTATTAGATCTTCTCAAGGGGATACATGTTTTCTGTGCTATTTGCGTGATATTTCCATTAAGCATGATGAGTTCTGTCTCCCAGTTTTACTCACAGTGGACTGTTCAGTTTGTTGGCCAGTGGGGCAGGCACTGTTAATTACCTACCCAGCCGCCTTCCTGGCCCGTGCTTCTTCCTTGCTCAAGACCATAGTTTCATTCAGCTCTTGAACAGGCAACAATGTACTTAGAGTAGGCATCTGGGTTAGTTTAAGCCTTTTATAATAATTCCTTGGTCTTACCAGTGACTAATCTGTGATGGGCTCATCTCATTGGTTCTGGCCAGTGAGCTATAAAAGAAAGTCTCCTGAAGGAGGATTTTTAGCAGGATTTTCTTTTCCAGTCAGTAAGAGATCATTTTGTGAAGAAAGCCACATTCTGCCTCCACTCACATTTCCTGCTTTTGCATGTGTTAATGTGAAAATAAGGTGCCAAAAACTGTTAACAGTTAACTTGTAACCTGAGGGAAAGACAAGAGAATTGTAGAGACACCAGCTCAGTACCCGGACATCACGGTCTTTATAATTTAAGTGTCAGAGTTGAGTATTCTGTTCCTTTTAGCCAATTCTGTTCACTGCCAGGATTTGTCCATGTTTGTAAGGCAGTGGGATGTATTATCCTATTTTATGTTTGGTTCAGAGTCACCATACCTTACCTTCTCCTGTCATCAGCTGAGTTTTCCTTGAATCTGTATTTAGGATGGGTCTTAAAATATCACCATATCCCAAACTGCAAAGGCAAACTTTATACACTCTTGTTTTGCACCTGTTAACAATATAAAACCATGAATGTTTCCACTGGTCATTCAGCAGAATTGCATTCATGTGACCAGTAGAAGTAGTTATTTAGCTCTGTAATTGGGAGGAATATAATTGTCAGCGAATAAATTGCATCCCCTATTTTTTGTGTGTGTGCACATGGTGGTTTGGTATTAGCACTCTACAGTAAGAGATAACATGTGGGTCTGCACTCGACCATTTTACAATTCCAGATTGTTACTATAAAACATTTATTGCCCTTATTTTAGTACCTTTGTTGGGACATTTTTATTACTTTCTCTGATACATGATTATCATTCCACTTTAGGCCATTAATTACTGAGTGGTTAATCCTCATCACAGCAGAAGCCTTTACGTTGGATCTTCAATCATCTAAACTGCACAAGCACAACCAGTCATTCCCGTCTGTGCATATTGACTTCCATTTGCCAAATTATTGCCATTAGTGGTAATACTGCCTGCAATAATTTTTATTGCTCAGATAAAACTAGTCTTACCACAGAGTGGCCCCATTGGCCACCTGATAGTATGACAGGCTTCTAAATTTATTGTTTTCTGAATTGATATCCTAGTTCTGAGTTATAATTCTAGTTCACACAAAGCCCCTCTAGTTATTGATATAACTGGATTTACCGAATTCCCCACTTGCTTACATCCCTTACCAGTGTCAAATAAATCTGTCACATTTCTATTAAGTGAACAGCCATATCAGTAAAAACAGTATAGTATTAATCCAATTACAGAGTTATTGATCTTTTGTTTCTTAACCCCTATAACCTGTAGCCACTCTCCTCCAAAATATCCTTTGGTTTGTATCACCATTTAACAAGTTATTAATCATCAAACAACTGAGTTTCTCTAATGGGTCATTCATTATGTGTTTGTGAGTTTTGAGTGTCACCTGCACTTCTTGAATCTCTCTTTATGCATCACTTACTAACTCCATGATCTTGGGCAAATTACTCAACCTCTCTGACCCTTAGATTCCTCATCCATGAAGTAGAAATAATAAGGCTTACCTCACAAAGTTGTTGTGAGGATTAAATGAGGTATCTTTGAAAGTACTTTTTAAACTATAATGTGGCATACAGCTGGAAGGAGGTGTTTTTACGAGGCCAGTTTGGTTGTAACTTTGGTGTAGTTCTGTTTAAATAATTTTGGTTAAACTTGAAGCCACGCTGTGGCATTATCGTGCCTTGGGTTAGTTATTGGTTAAGTTGGGACCATGTTAAAATAAGGCAGCCTGTATGCCAGAGGCACCCCCAGCTCGAATCACCTGGATTCGCTTCTTACTGTGACTGCTGGGGTCAAGGGGAAGAGAGACATTTCTCCTCTGAGGACCACATCCCCAGACATGGCTTCTTCCCGTTCCAGCTACCAACGCACACAGCCTGTTTCATGTAGAGAGCAGAGTCTCCCTACAGAGAGTTCAGGCTGTCAGCTGTAGACACGTGGGAATTATGGCTGTGGTGTAATATGCTCAGTTTGCCTGGTAACTCCTCTTCCCAGGCTGCCGATCCTAGTTGTCCTCAATTCGATTCATCTTTTTAACCAGTTCTTCCAGGCCTAGAAAGTATAGGCAGGCTGTACAGTCAGGTAGACCTGGATTTGGGCCCAGACTTCGCTGCCTGCTCATGACCTCAGGAAGCCTCAGTTTCCTCATCTGTCTATAGGAATAATAATAATAGTACCTCCATAGGCTTGTGAATGAGGCTTAGTAAGAAAAATGGCTATATATAAATAGTAGTACAGAGCCTGGCATGTAGTGAACAGCCAATAAGTGTTAACCACCATGTATATAAGGACTTCCCTGGTGGCTCAGTGGTAAATAATCTGCCTGCCACACGGGTTTGATCCCTGGGTCAGGAAGATCCCCTGGAGAAGGGAATGGCATCCCTCTCCAGTATTCTTGCCTGGGAAATCCCATGGACAGAGGAGCCTGGCAGGCTACAGTCCATGGGGTCACAAAAAAGTTGGGTACAACTTAGCGACTACACAACCACAGCGGAACCATGTATGTATGAATTTACATTATTCCCTGTGGAGAACAATATTAATAAAGTTAGAAAGGCTTCAAAGCTTTTAAATCTTCCCATCACTGTTGCAGGTCTCTAGCTCTTCCTGCTTCCTCTGAGAGGTATCTCGTCACTGTCACGCTCCTCTTTTTTTGTTTGTTTTTGACTGTGCTGCGTGACTTGCAGGATCTTACTTCCCTGACCAGGAGTGAGCCTGAGCCCCTGTAGTGGAAGCACAGCATCCTAGCCCCTGGACCACCAAGGAATTCCCTCCTCTTTCATTCTTGAGAGCGGTTCTTACAACCTTATTCTGTCCTCAGACTCCTTCCCCTATAGGTGATGCCAACCCCCTCCTCCACGAAGGTCTCTTTCCTAAGAACAGGGCTGACTTCTTTAACTGGCTGATGACTGAGTCTGGGCTCTTATGAGGTAGGTGTCTCTAATTTCTCGCAGACTGTAAATGGGCAGCTTGGACTCTCTCGTGTCTTCTCACCACAGGGAAAGGCAGCCTCTCCTCCCTCCCTCCTCTCCTCTCCACTGTGTTGGAATGTTTCCTTCCAATGTCTACTTGCAAAGTGTTCATCTGAGTAATTCCAGTTCTTTTCTTTTTTTTTTTTAATTCCAGTTCTTATTCTATTTCACTTATTTTGAACCTTCATCTGCTTCAAATGTATAATGAAAAACTCTAAATGCATAAAAAGATTAAAGGAAAAAGATAACAAACACTCATGTACCCACCACTCAGCTAATTTACCTTCTTCACTTGTGTAGAAAGCTCAGCATCTGTCAGACCCGACGCTCAGCATGACCCATCTCTTGGTGAAGTGTTTTAATCCTTTCCAGGGTGTGCCTATTGCTTCATCCAGTGTTGGACTAGCAGTATCCAGTCAGTTCTTTGACTTGATTTAAAATTCAGCTTGATTTTGAGCCTCTTGATTCATGGTTTATTTAAAGAATTCTTTTTGGCCCATACAGAGTGGCTTTTGGGATCTCAGTTCCCTAATACAGAGATTGGACCCGGGCCCACGGCAGTGAACGGGCCAAGTCCTAACCACTGGACCGCCAGGGAATTCCCTAAAGAATTCTTTTTTTTTTTTAAGATTTTAATTCATTTATTTATTTATTTAATAAATAAATAACACCAAAAGCATTTTGTATTGGGGTATAGTCAGTTAACAATGCTGTGATAGTTTCAGGTGAGCAATGAGGGACTCAGCCATACAGCCCTAAAGAATCCTTAAGACTTCAAGAGGGTGTTTAGGAAGCATCAACCAAGAGGAAAACAAATAACAACCTTGCCCTCCCAAGCACTTCATATCACTGTTGGATTCAGCGTGCGCAGTCTTGGGGTTCACGTGGTCTCCAAGGAGGACAACAGCCTCCTGTGCTTTTTTCCATTCTTTTTTGATGGCGGCTTCTTTCTGACACATCTGCCTGTTTGTTCTTGACAGCGGACCCTCTGAGGTGCCTACCGCAGGCTGTGGATCTGGGTCCCTTCTCACAGAGGAGAAGCCGTCACAGTGACGAGCCAGAATGTACAGCCTCAGCGGGTCTACAGAGGAGTCATTTACCTCTGGCTCCTGGGTGGATTTCGGACGAGCAGATTTTTGTGCTGCGTTGCCTCAGTTTTATTTTTTTTTTCCAGTAGGTTTAGAAGTACTCTTTCTTTGGGGATTGATGAGAGCCAACAAAACAACCTTTTCCAGTGATTAATAAAAATAATACGCTCATTGTAGAAAACATGAATGATTCAGAGAAGGTATAGAAATTAAGTGTCACCTATCATTCCGCAGCCCAGAGATAAGCAGTGTTAACATTTCTGATCGTTTTCTTCCTGATCTTTTCTGTGCACTTACTTTTTAAGAAATATAGAGATCATAAAAAATACATAATTTTGGTTCAGTTTTCACTTTATTGAGATCACTTTCTAGTGTTATTAAATAGCCTTCACGATGTGATTTTCAGTGGCATCTGGTGGCTGAACCATAGTATATTTCATCATTTGTAATTTCTAGATGTTTATGTTTGCAGTTTTTAACCAAAATACATAATACCATTATAAACTGTTTCAGATCACCTTTGTTTGACTCTGATTCTTTTTTTTCTTCATACTTTAAACTTTTTATTTTGTATTGGAGTATAGCCGATAAACAGTGTTGCGATAGTTTCAGGTGAGCAGCAGAGGGACTCAGCCATACATATACATGTAACCATTCTCCCCCAAACCCCCCTCCCATCCAGGCTGACTCATAACACTGAACAGATTCCATGTGCTACACAATAGATACTGGTTTGATTATTTTCTTATAGTCAGAGATTATGAGTCATTTTAAGGCTTATGGTAGGTGTATTGCTAGATTGTCTTCCGAAAGATGGTACGACATACACCCCCACCTGTGCTATTAGAGAGCTGGTCTCACTACACCTGGGTCAGCACCAAGAGGATACGTCTTTGAATCTTTATTAATTTAGTGGGTGGAAAATGGTTTCTCATTTCCATCACGTTTGAACTGTTACATCGTGTAATCTCTTGTTATCTCTTACATCTTGTGTGATACGTTTTCCTTTACTCTGTGTGAGGCCAGTGTTTGAAAATATGCCTGTCATATCTTACTGCTTTTTTGGTGTTAATAATAGGGTCATTCTGATGAGCTGTGTGAGTTACCAGTCTGTCTTTATCAATGCTAACAATAGTTATCTTTCAGAATGACTGTTGGACATATCTTGGGAGGTGTCATAGGTATTAGACCAGCCTCCTCTACCTAAAGGGAAGAATATCTCTTGGAAATGGGGGACTTCAGCTCTTCTGGCAGAGCCTGGTTTTTAGACTAGAGTTGCCCTGCCTTGCCGAGGGAAATAGTGAGGCATTTAATGATGTTGCTTTCCAGTCCTCAGGTGTAAATTTACAGGAGGCTGTATTCTTTGATTCCCTCCTTGGGGTATGAGGGATGCTAGATAAGACTAAATTATAGAAACATCCCAACCACGTAGTCCCCTGGAACCAGAATAAGGGCCACCAGACCTTAAGGGATTCACAGAAAGAAGAAAACTTCAGGGGGACTTCCCTGGTGGTTCAGTGGTTAAGACTACATGCTTCCACTGCAGGGGGCGTGAGTTCAGTCCCTGGTTGGGAAACTAAGATCTTGCATGCCGCATGGCACAGCCAAAAAAAAAAAGAGGAAATTCCAGGAAAGTTGGAATGGTCTTCCTGACCCTTTAGGACTAGGCTCTCTTTCCTCAACAAGTTAATTGAGTATTTCCCAAACTCAAGTCAGGTACCGTCTTCATGACTTTTTTGCAATATTTTATACTATTATTTATTAAATGCACTTGAAAAAATGAACTTATGTACTCAATTAGACTTACTTTTAAAATCAATCTTATTAGTTTCTATAAGTGGAAAACAAGTGTCATTTGCCCAAAATAGAAAATAACCTTAGAAATACAGTGAAACACGAAACAGTCTTATTAATTAAATTCTAGGCCAGATCCTGTTGCTTACAAAATGTTGAACCTGAGGCTGCCCTCACTTTGTTAAAAAATAATCCTAAAGACAGAGTGGTGTCAAACTCAGATCCCTCCTCAAGGGCAGCAGGACTTTAACAGAATAAAAAGAACCACTTGTTTATTTTGAAACTCAATGTTTAATAATAATACATGTGGGCTACCTAAAATTATCTCCTGTTCTACCAGTAGATGTCCTGCTCTAGAAAATATCTTAGGGTATGTTGCCGTAACAGATTAACTCTGAAATCTCAGTGGATTGGCACAACAGATGCTTATTTCTCACTCATGCTTCCAGACCAAGGGAGGGTAAAGTGGGTGTGGAAGGCAGGCTCTGCTCCACATAGTCACTCTGTCATCCAGGCTGAAGGAGGTGCCACCACCTGGAGCCTAGCCAGTTATCACAGCAGAAGAAAGCTTACAGAGAACTCACACATAGGACTTCCCTGATGGTTCACTGGTTAGGACTCTGCGCTTCCATTGCAGGAGGCACAGGTTCGATCCCTGGCAGGGGAAGTTCTGCATGCCCCCGTTGTGTGTGGCAAAAAAGAGAGGGAGAACTCACACCTGTTCTTTACACTTTGGCTCAGAAGGGACTACCTCACTTCTCTCCTCAGCCCATTGGCCAGAATCAGTAGCCTCACCTAAGTGCAGGGGCTGGGAAATATAGAGGAGCACGTGGAATATTTGGTGAATTATGCTGTCTTTGTTTCATCTGGTTCTGCAGCATAATGCTGGTCTAGATGCTTCTAGATAAGGAATGGATATGGACATTTTTTATTTGAAGAGGGTAATGATTGTGTATGAGATAGTTTGCAATACTGTTAATAATCTGTTAAGAGAAAGTGGTCGGATATGTCAGACTGTTCCTTGCTAACAGTGTCTCCTTTCTTAAAGCTTCATTAAAGAACGGTCAAAAGTCAGCACGGTTCCTCTGAAAAATAAGAAGGCCTCCAGTTTTCACGAGTTTGCCCGGAACACCAGTGATGCTTGGGACATTGGTGATGATGAGGAAGAGGACTTTTCGTCCCCTGCTTTCCAAACTCTGAACTCAAAAGTTGCTTTGGCGACCGCTGCCCAAGTGCTGGAAAACCACAGCAAGCTGAGGGTGAAACCAGAACGGTCCCAGTCGACGACATCCGATGTACCTGCCAGCTACAAGGTCATAAAGTCTAGCAGTGACGCCCAGCTGTCCAGAAATTCCAGTAAGTCCGTCCAGCTCCCCGCCATAGGCTCAGCCTTTTCAGCAGAGCGCACTTTAAATAAAAACAGGTTCTGGGGGGCATCCCTCAGATCGTCCACCGGTGATACATAAGCGAGCTGGAGCCTGAGGACCCTCAGGGAGCCTCACTGGCAGGAGCTGTGCTCGCTCCGCCTCCCGGATGGCTGCCTGGCCCTGGGACCCGGGGCTTCACTGCCGACGCCCCCGTGCCGCCTGCCCTTCTCTCCTTCCTTTCCCTGTGCTGGGGTCCAGAACACTTATGGTGTGGTTGCTCCACATTTCTTTGGGCCTGGTCAGGTTGAAGTGTGTTGACTAAATGGAGTTGAAGTTGTTAGTGGCTGAATTTCAGAGATGCTTGGCACCGTTCCTCCGCTCTGGGGAAGAGCCCCTAGCAGCAGGTCGTCTCTCTGCTGTTCCTCAGGAACGGAGTCCCAGGTTTGGGTGGCGCAGGAGGAGATCCCACCTTCTTTTCGGGAAACTGGCAGCAGTAACTGGTTGAGAGGATGGAGGTTTTATGAGATGTTTGGAGACAACTCTTTTTAGTATCCATTGCTGTGTCTAATGTTGCCCTAAAGCGTTTTATGGGAGTCAGTTCTGAGCTGGAGGGGGAAGTGCCCTCATGCTACTGAAACAGCTGACTGTGGTAAAAGGTGAAAAGGAAGTAGAATATCAGAGCCCTGGTGCATGTCCTGGCTCTTGTTCTAGGAGAACTTCTTTTGCAGTTTCAGACAAGGATGTCCTCCAGAAATGAGGCTGTAAGGCCTGGAAAATCATTCCACAGTCACTTCGCATCTCTGATTTGGGCCCCAGTGATGCGCCCAGACAGGCATTCAGTGCCCACAGGTGACCACAGCTCCTGGATGTGGAAAGTGTCTTCACATGAGACCGAGGGTCTCCAGAGGGTCCCAGTGTGAGGGGAGGCCCCACCACGATCCCTGACGAGCTGCGCTTGTGCAGCAAGGACCACCCAGAGCACTCCCGTCATGGGGTTCCCCCCTGCGGGCGTCAGTCCGTCAGTCACTGATCACTGGAAGCAGCCTTCAGTCTCAGCTCTGTAGCGTGTGGGCTGCGTTTTCTCAGCCCCGTGTCACACTCGGCATCCAGACCAGTGCCCTGTGGCCGTTGAGTCTGTAAACTTCCTACTGCTGGTTGATGAGGATTCCCTGTTTAATTCTTGTGACAACTACTTGTTAAGGCCCAAATATGTAAAGAATATGAAACAGTCATAAAAGGATGGTCAGAATTTAAAACTGAGTTTTGTTTGGGGGAGTAAAATAAATAAGGGTTTTGGCGTCAGACAGACCCAAGATCACTCAGCTCTCCCTTGCAAATTACTTAACCTCTCTGAGCTATAGTTCCCTCAAAATTGTGATAAATTCCTGCTGTAGTATGTTATAAGGATCAAATGAGAGAACATAGGTAACTGTGACCAGTTCAGTGCCTTAGTAAGCAGTCAGTAAATGTTAGCGCTATCCTGCTCATTTCTCCTAGCCACCATCTTGTTCAGAAATGTCTAGAACCAGACATAGAGTTCAGCTCGAGTCCGTGTGCCTGTTATTTCAGTCATAATCCCGGCAGAACTAAAAGCCAGTTCATTTTGGCAAGAAATGTCGAAGCATAGAGGGCTGGCCTTAGGCCAGAGCCTCTCATGTTTGGGCCAAAAATAGGTGAGAGCTGTGCGAGGAGTACTGACCCTCTTAGCCCTTGGGGCAGCCGGCTGGGGCCTGGGGCTTCGGGAGAGCAGCCATCATCTTTTTTTTCCGTGGTGTGGTTTTACGGTGTCATTTTCTGTGTGCTCTGGGACGTGGAAAGGGAAGTCTAATACTGCCTTTGACTATGTTGCCAACCCCCCCAGCCCCAAACTCACTATTAGACACCAAGAAAAGTTCCAGGTTGGGATAAAAAGAAAACAATAGATTTTTCCCCTGAAGTCACAAAAAAACTGTCAGATTTGCTTCAGTAGCTGGAGTCTCTGCGCAGAAGGTTCCTTGGTATGTCTGATAAACACGCAGCCCTTTCCCTGAGCTATCGGAGGGCGGCTGGGTCTCCACCCACTGGCTGGCCGCCCCGCTGCGGGCGACCTGGCAGCCGCGCCGCTGGAGGAGCCCCGTGCCCAGCAGTCAGGTCTGAGTTGTCTCCGGATCTGCGCTCGTCACTCAGCCTGTCCTCTTTCTCTTTCAAACGACCCCTCAGGTGACTCTTGCCTGAGGAACCCGCTCCACAAACAGCAGTCACTCCCTCTCCGACCCGTCATCCCACTCGTCGCCCGCATCTCAGACCAGAACGCTTCTGGGGCACCCCCGATGACCGTCCGGGAGAAAACACGCCTGGAAAAGTTCCGTCAGCTCCTCTCCAGCCACAACACCGACCTGGGTGAGTCCCCCCCACCCCCGTGAGCCCTGGGCAAGTTCGGACCTCTCGGTGACGAATTCCCAGAGACCCGGAAGCTATTGCTCTTTATTCTTCCTTCTTTTACTTTTCCAGCATCTCCTGACCTGGTGCCCATTGAAGTGACATGCAGGTATCGCAGTCAGAAATACATTAACTAGAAATCAGGGGCCAAGTTAGGCGGGACTGGACTCCGTGGCCTGTAGACCCTAGTGCACCCATTCTGGCTTCAGTCTCCTCTACCTCCAGGCGATTCCTCCTGAAATCCACACCTCCTGGTCTTCCTCCTCCCTCTAACTCTAATCTCTGAGCTGACTGGATCACTGCTGCAGAGCTATGACCTTGGCTGCTCAGGGCTGTTGTTTGGGCTTTTCACCGGTGCTTGTCGGTAGCTAGCGGTGGTGGTGGCAGTGGCGATGGCGGTCATCCTACTGAAACGCTGGGAGGCTCCAGGCAGCGCTGGCTGAGGCTCGTTTCAGGGCCCCCATGGGAAGGGCTAAGTCCAACCACACCTTCATCTTTTTGCAGATGAACTGAGGAAGTGTAGCTGGCCGGGGGTTCCCAGGGAGGTTCGGCCTGTAACCTGGAGACTCCTGTCGGTGAGTTTTGCCCACTGGGTAGAGAAGTGCAAGCCTCACACAGCCCCGCCTGCCTGCAGGGGCTGGTCTGGGCACATCGGTCTTGCCCCATAGACTTCTCTGATCCTAGCCGATATGGGACTGAAGTCCTGTCTCTGCATAAAGAATCACATCCTCGATAGTTTGTTCCCACTCGTGTAGAAGAGCATAGGTTTGTGTGGATAGTCCTGATCTCGCCTTCTCAGCACCAAGGAGGCGTCCAGTGAGGCTGGGTGAGCCAGCTCTCGTGTGGGCAGGTCCCACTTTCCCTGTGCTTCCCTCCTTTCTCAGTAGGAATGACTAAGGGGGTTGAAACCCACTTCCCAACCGTGAAGAGTTGATAAACGGGCCTCCCTCAGAAGCCTGCAGTCGTCCCACGTTCACTAAGTCATGGAGCCCTGTGCCAGCCGCTGTGGTAGGAACACTCTGATCTCCTGAGCCCATAAAATCCATTCATTCATAAGGATTTATTGAGGGCAAGCTGTTTAGCGGGCATGATGCCAGGTGCTGTGAGGATACACAGAGGCGGGCCCCACACAGCTCCGGCTCGCCAGGCGCTTCCTTGCTCTGTGGACGTGTCCCTTCCCTGCCTGTGAGAGGACGACTCTCGCTCCTAATAGGCCCCCACCCCTGACTCGCGCAGCCTTGGAGTCACTGCCTCTGCTGCTTCTAAATGCTATTAGAAGTAGCTGCGATGAGGATGGAAGGGGAACAAGAGATGTCAGAATTGAGAGTGGGATCTAGACCAGGGATGGCCCAGAGCTGAGGCCAGGAGCGAGGGGCTGCTGCCAGAAGTTCTGTGTCTGGACGTTGCAGCTGCTGTGTCACACATTCCATTCAGCCTCCTAAGCTGGTAATTCTCAACATTACTGTGGAAAAGAATTATGTAACTAGCACAAGCTCACACGGCTTGCCACTGAGATGTGCCGCGGAGGCTGCCACCTCTCCGTGACCCTGGGAAGGATTGCCTCGCACACACACAGCCCCAGGAGTCCTGACTTGGGTCCAGTTCCCTCCCACTGACCTACATTCGCTACTCTACTGTGCCAGGCCCGGAACTCTGCAGTGCTCCCCAGCAGGACCCGCGCCCGGGGCTGCAGGAGTACATAACCCCGAGAAACCCGGCCGGGCTTTATCTGCCCGAGAAACCTGGCCGGGCTTTATCTGCACACACGTGCGTCTCACTGAATGAGGAAAGGGCAAACCCTGGGTGGCCAAAACCAAAAAGGGATTTACCCTTGTCCTCTTGGCAGCTTTCTTTCCCTTCCTTTGAAAGTTTCAAAGCCACTGCTCAGGCTAAAATAAAAGTTAAGATCGGGTAGAGAGGGAGGTGGGAGGGGGGATCGGGATGGGGAATACATGTAAATCCATGGCTAATTCATGTCAATGTATGACAAAAACCACTACAATATTGTAAAGTAATTAGCCTCCAACTAATAAAAATAAATGAAAAAAATAAATAAATAAAAGTTAAGGATTCATCCAACCAGTGCCTGTCCCCATCTGACAAGCGGTCCTGTCTACAGGGTTATCTCCCAGCAAACACTGAGAGGAGGAAGTTGACCTTGCAGCGGAAGCGGGAAGAGTATTTTGGCTTCATTGAGCAGTATTATGACTCCCGAAATGAGGAACATCACCAGGATACCTACAGACAGGTACGTCATCACCTGCTGCCCTTTTGCCCACTAGTCATAATCCTCAGGTGTGGCTCCTGGAAAGTGCTCTCGGGGTACAGGTTTGCCAAGTCTTCAGGCTGCAGTGGTTAGGAATTAAATTTATTCGCAGAACTGTATCCTCTCTTTCTAATTCAGTAGCTCTGATTTTAGCCTTCTTTTTTTTTTTTTGGCTGTGCTACACAGCATGTGAGATCTTAGTTCCCCAACCAAGGATCAAACCCATGCAGCAGAAGCATGGAATCTTAACCATTGGACCACCAGGGATGTCCCTAGACATTTTCAATAGATAGATTTTGGGGAGTCCCTGGTCAGTAGCAGTGGTTCTTGGGCTTTAATATGCATAGAAATCATCTAGGATTTTGATAAAATTCTAACTCGGGATTATGGTAAAATGCAGATTCTTATTCAGGAGATCTGGAGTGAGCCCTTCACTTCCAATGAGTTCCCAGGTGATGCCAACGCTGCTGGTCCACAGACGACCCTTGCGAGAATAGTCAGGGTGTTGGGACACAAGATGAAGGATGAGTTCGCTCAGTGAGTCCAGCCCTCTGGCCTGTGACATCACTGTGTCCTTCTGACAGCTGCAGTGCCTCTTTGGCTTTGTCTGTCTGTCTTGTAGGAGCCATAGCCATCAGCAGCCTTAGCCGGGAGAGCCCTACCATTGCCCATAGTGGTCCGCACAGCCTGTGGAAAGGGGCCTGATGGTTGCAGAGGGGAAGACACTGGGTGTGTGCAGCTGTCTGCAATGGGCCCCAAGAGCTGAAGTAGGCTCAGCCGCTGCTGATACAGTCCTTAGGGCTGTTGCTGTGGTTTAGTCCCTCAGTCATGTCCCCGGCCCCTCGCGACCCCATGGACTGTAGCTCAACAGGCTCCTTTGTCCATGGGATTTTCCAGGCAAAGATACTGAAGTGAGTTCCCATTTCCTTCTCCAGGAGATCTTCCCAACCCAGGAATTTAACTCGTGTCTCCTGCATTGGCAGGCAGGTTCTTTACTCCCTGAGCCACCAGGCAAGCCTGGTGGGTTATTAGACATTGGTAAATCCCAAAACCAATCGTCATGACACCTTTGGTAACAGAAGCCAGAACTTTCAGTGCCAGTTATTCAATGCCAACTCCCTCTGGTTCCCTGTCCTGGTACAGTTTTGGAGCTTCCCGAGCTCTTTTAGTTCTTACAGACTGTTGAGGATTAAGAATCTGAAAGAAGTGTACACATTTTGATCCTATCTGTTAAATTTAAGTACAGGCCCAGAGTAAAACAGATGCCAGACAATAGGGGAAAGCAGCTGGTTCTCCTGAGTTGTGAAGCCTATTGCTGTTTGGTGTTAAGTGGTTTGTTTAGGAAGGTTTCATTACTGTTCAGTTAGGTGTTGCTGTCATGGGAATGTATTCCACATGTACAGGTAGGTTTCTAAAGCCTTCTAAAGTTCTTTCTAAAGATAAATTTGACTCTCATTCTTACTCCCTTTGATTCCCAGATCCTAAGAAAATAACTTCTCAAAAGAACAAAGTGGCATTTGTGTTTTTGGATAACGGCTTCTCTTTTTCAGATTCACATTGACATTCCAAGGACGAATCCTCTCATTCCATTGTTCCAGCAGCCACTTGTGCAGGAGGTGAGGGAGTGCTTCACACTGTCGCCCGCCCCCAACCCCACATGCCTCTGCAGCGCTGTCCATGGGGGAGTGCTCGTCCCTGCCTCCAGCCTCGGGGCGTTATAGCTAATCCTGATGGTACCCTGCGTTCATTCGAAGATGGAGCTTCTGTCTTTCAGAGCACTTTCTTGTGGGTTCCCATTAGGTCCTCATAACAAACCTGCGGGCTGAGTAGCGCTTTGAGGGTTTAAGGGACTTGCCCAGAGTCAGAGTCCACCTGGTGACTGAATGAAGACTGGAAGCTGCTAGAATTCCTAGTCCTGTGTTTGCTGTACTTGATAAAGCTGGGAGTAATGATTGGTGTGTGTGTGTGTGTGGTAACAATACAAAACATAAAATTTACTGTCATAACCATTTTTAAGCATATAGTTTGGTGACATCAAGTACATTCATATTGTTCAATCATCACCATCATTCATCTCTACAACACTTTTTCGTTTTCCCACACTGAAGCTATGTACCCGTGACACAGTAATTTTCCATTCCCCAGCAGCTGCCGTTCTACTTCCTGTGTCTATGAGTTTGACTATTCTAGGTACCTCAGATGAATGGGATCATACAGTAATTGTCGCTTTGTGACTGGCTTATTTGACTTAGCATAATACCTTTGAGGTTCATTCATGTTGTCAGACTTTCCTTCCTTTTAAAGACGAGCTTATATTCCATTGTATGTATGTAAGACATTGTTGATGTGCTGTTTGTCAGCGGACACTTAGGTTGCTTCCGCCTTTTGGGTATTGTGAGTAGTGCTGCTATGAACGTGGCTGTGCAAGTGTCTGAGTCCCTATTTTAAATTCTTTTCAGATACATACCCAGAAGTCAAAATAGTAGTGATACGTTGAGACCTAACAATTTAGCAGTTAGCAAAGCACATGAAAGGTTTCAGTGGGACTGTTATCTTTTGACCAAGCAAGAAGTATAAACTCCTTGAGATTAGGGATTTCCTTACGACTTAATAGTAGCTAGGACTCTGGGTGGAAGTGCTCTTTGAATTATGTTTTCACTCATTCTCATAGTAAAGAATGTGATTTAAAATGCTCAAAATAATTTCTTTTTGACTTTAGATTATATTCATAATTCTGTTTGAATATAGATGTGTCTAATGATGGGATCCCTCATAACTTACCAGTAGTGTAAAGAAGGTTTTGAGGGTCATGCCGTTGTTTTACCTGTAAGAATCAGCTCAAAGGAAGGTGAAAACCCACTCAGGATATCTTTGTGTCTCCCTTTCAGTTTCCCTTGGCTCAGCCCTACTTATTCCTCATTTTAACTTGAAGATGTTCAGATCTTTCACCTGTGCATGCATCCTTTAAACTTGGAGATAGGGCAAAGTACTTCGTTTAAAAGGATTCTCCAGGCAGTGGAACTGGCATACAGAGAAAGAAACTCAAACTGCCGTCTTTCCAGTTTTCCTTGAATCACCTTTCCATCTAGCAGACTATAGCCAAATAAACAGAATAAATTGCCAACCAGGGAGCAGAAAATTAACATTGAATATTGAGAGACTTGCTTTACAAACCTGAAAGATACTTGAGGATTGAGAATAGTGAGAATTACCCACACTATTAGCAGAGGTGTCTCAGAAGCAGAGAGGCTTGTCCCAGCCTTGTTCTGTAGTGAAGATTCCATGGTCTCCCCAGGTCACCAGGCTTGGCGCTCTTCAGTTCCCATCTCTTTGGCACTTCCACTTGCATGGCGTGTATGTCTGCTTGTCCCATCCTTACTAGAGAGGGATGACTGCAGGTCTCCTGATTCTGAATGGCTAGCCTCCCTGCACTTACTCACCAGAGATGTGTGTATTTACGAGGAACTGATAGTTTGAAATAGAAGAGCTGATAAGTCCTTCAGAAGGGCTGAGCTGGAGGAGCTTTTAATAGAGACGTCCAGTCAGACACGGGCCACTGGGTGTGTGAGGAGGCAGAATGGGGCGGGGAACTCTTTGAGAGCTTCCTGAACCTGGTGGGTCTGCTTGAGCCCTAGTTTCAAGGGAGGGAGGAGGGCGTTTAGCAGCAGAGGAAAGAATGTCAGAGGGGCCCCATTGGAATGCTGGGCCTGACACAAATGAGGATGCCACGCCCTTCCCCTCAGTCCCAGGGAGCAAGCAGGCCCCTCTAGGGGAGGCAGAGAGGCCAGCTCCTTCCAGGCAGGGCCTTGCTCACACTGCCTGCAAGGACAGGGGTGTTAATGATGGGAGTGTTTCTCAGCTGGCTTGGCCAGCTGTAAGGCATAGTCAGCACGGGATTCGGGCTGGGAAACATCCTTTGTCTCTAGATTCTCCACGTTTCTCCTACACTAGCTAACCAACTCCAAAACCATACAACCATCTCTTTTTCACTTTTCTCCTTGGGAAGTTTTTGCTCCTTCGCACCTGACCTCCAGGAGGCCTCTTCAGTCTGCCCGCAGAGCTGACTGATGGGGCTCCACAGAGTACACATGCAGTGGAGGCCCCCTCCTCTCCTGTCCCCCCTGCACATGGTCATCGTCACCTCTGTCATCCCTCTGGTGTGGTCCAGAGGCAGGAGACAGTCCAGTCAGAGCCAGTCTGAGGGATGTGTTGGGCCCAGGAGCTGTGGTCAACAGGCTGAAGCCAGGACGAGTGCCAGCAGGTTGAGAGAAGACAGGGGGAAGCCCTGAGGGTCTAGTGAAAGCAGAGAGGAGGGTAAGAGACTCTGTAAAGGGAACCATAAGGGTCTTTTCTTTCTCTCCAGACTAAGCCTCTGGCCTCTTGTGGCTAATATACTCAACCCCAGACGCTTTCCCAGCTGTAGGATTTGGTTCATTTGACTTCCTATCCCCAGCAAACATCTGGGTTGCATCCTGATATGTGAAATGACTTCCCACACGTATTGTCTGTCACTGGTTCCTAGTCAGACTGGGTTAGAAGTAAATCCAGATCTAGGTCTCCTTCCATCTCAGCAGGGAGAAAGAGGAGGGTTGATAGAGAAGAGATTTCCTCTCTGTACTGTAATGAGCAAAAGAGATTTAGAAAACATATCAGAACTTAGATATTCTGATATCTTGCTCCTGGAAATAGAGAAACAGCATCTATAAATGAGCACAGTGGCCTGAATTAATGACATCCATAGCAGCCCTTTCCCTAAGCCACCCATGTCACTCTCCTTTCTGTTTCCCAAATTTATATCACGATGACTAGATACTAGAAAGAGAAGCAAAGGGCAAGAAGTACCTGTTGTTGTTATTGTTGTTTTTTAGTTGCTAAGTCATGTCCGACTCTAGCAACCCCATGGATTATAGCCTTGCAGGCTCTTCTGTCCATGGGATTTTCCAGGCAAGAATACTGGAGTGGGTTGCTATTCCCTTCTTCAGGGGACCTTCCCGACCCAGGGATCGAACCTGCATCTCCTGCATTGGCGGATGGATTCTTTACCAACTCCTGTTTAAAAGCAATTTGTATCTTAGAAACTTTCTGTATTTACAGACTTCCTTTGTCCCACAGTAATTTTTAAATTTTTCCTACAAATTCTGCGGCAGTGCTGAGTTAAATTGTGAGGGAGGTAAACGGAGGGAGGGAGAGTATCCCCATGATTTAACATCATGACATCTTTCTTTCTCATTTTCCTAGATCTTCGAAAGAATTCTATTTATTTGGGCCATCCGACACCCCGCCAGTGGGTATGTCCAGGGAATTAATGACCTGGTCACTCCGTTCTTTGTCGTCTTCCTCTCAGAATATGTGGGTAAGAAGCATGAGTCCCAAGTTGAACAAGCTTTTGCTCTTTTTTCATCTGTGGTCTGTCTGTTTTTCCCAAGAGTGCAGCCAGTGGGCACATCTTGCTAAAAAAGAGATAGTGGCTTTAGAATACACAGCTGAACCTGTTTTAACAGCAACAGCAGCCTGGAATTTATCTCTCGAGATGGTCACAGATCTCTGCTAAAAAGACCTGCTTTGCCACAAGAATGGCCAAGTTGGCATATTTATGTTCCACCATAAACAGATGGTTTGATCCTTCATCTGAGGTTCTTTTAGGATTATTTTGAACTTGACTCTAACACAGGCCCTCACCTGTGAAAGCTGGATTTTCAGATTATACATCAGGCCTCCATGCTTTCATTCACACACCGAATCTTAGGAGCAGGGTATGGGCCTGCAGAGGAGGCAGGGTGGTGCCAGGTTCCAGCTCACGTTGGAGGCGATGAAATGGGCCAAGGAGAGCTCCGGGACCTTGGTTTCTCCCACTTCCTTCTTCGCCCCTTACCTCACTGTGTTCTTGTCACCTTTTTTTTGTTTTTAAGTTTAAGGAAGATAGTTCTTTCTAAAAAGTTCATTAATTTATGGCTGCACCGGGTCTTCATTGCTGCATGTAGACTTTCTCTAGTTGCAGCAAGTGGGGGCTACTCTCCAGTTACGGTACACCGGGTTCTCATTTCAGGAGCTTGTGTTGTTGCAGAGCACGGGCTCTCGAGCGCGAGGGACTCTAGTAGTTGTGGCGTGTGGACTCAGCATGCGGCTCATGGGCTCTAGAGGGCAAGCTCAGTAGTTGCGGCACATAGGCTGAGTTGCCCCATGGCACGTGGAGTCTTCCTGGACCATGAATCAAATGCATGTCCCCTGCAGTGGCAGGTAGATTCTTAACCACTGGATCATCAAGGAAGTCCCCAGCAGTTAGGTTTTCTTACAGTGCTAGCCACACTACTCCAGCCAGGCCTAAATCAGGCAGTCTCAAAAGGCGTTGAGGATTCTCCGCTTCTCCTGTTGATTCCCTTAATCTCTTGTTGTTTTGCCGAAAGTTTTCACTTTTGTCTCAGGTTCAAAGGATTTGTTAACAAAAGAAGCCACTCGTTATATTCAAATAAACAATACCAGTATTAATTAGGCTTCCCTGGTAGCTCAGCTGGTAAAGAATCTGCCTGCAGTGCAGGAGACCCCAATTTGATTCCTGGGTCAGGAAGATTCCCTGGAAAAGGGATAGGCTACCTACTCCAGTATTCTTTGGCTTCCCTGGTGGTTCAGCTGGTAAAGAATCCGCCTGCAATGAGGGAGACCTGGGTTCAATCCCTGGGTTGGGAAGATCCCCTGGAGAAGGGAACAGTTACCCCCTCCAGTATTCTGGCCTGGAGAATTCCATGGACTCTATAGTCCATGGGGTTGCAAAGAGTTGGACATGACTGAGTGACTTTCAATATTTATTAGAGAATTATATCGCTTACTTTCAATAAACTAATATTAAAAGAAAAGAGAAATAGAAACAGCAGAGGATACATCATCAAGTTGGGTTTTGACCAACATCCATAAACTCAAACAGCCCTGGAAGTCCTGTGTCACAGCACATCTGGAGTCCCAGTTGGGCAAAGGTCCAGGCAGCATATCCCCTGCATGGGTGAGACTTCAAAAATTCCATTTCAGGGTTCCGCTTATAATCCCAGGATGCAAACTGATATTGTCATTAATCTGTGAGCAAATTACATCTCTGGTTTCATGTTAATGCTGTTTGTTTTGTCGTGAAAAACTTGGAATGTCGTTAAGCCTGGGGCTTGGTGGGCCAGACCCCATCCAGGGGCTCCACAGTCTAAACATTCAGCCCCTGTCTTATCTGTGATGCTGCCAGACTTGCAGTCACAGCACGCAGTCAGGGCAGCGTCCAGGCAGGATGGACGCAGGTCAGAGGCCTGCTCTGCTTTGTCTCTGAAGCCAAACGAGACCGTTTAATTCCCTAACACTTGTGCTTCGAGATTCACAGGAAAACCCATCTGTCATGCAGCCTGATGCTTTTGTTCTCTTATCGGTCAAAAAGAAGCTCACGTGGGAATCGGAACGTGGGAAAGGATTTTAGGAAACTATCCGTCTCCTCTGCCCCTTTTCTTGCCTCATTAGTGGCAGAGCTGGGACTAGAACCCTTCTCTTCAGGCCGTGGGGTGATAGGTAATGAGATGATGCCATCGCAGGGGGGTAGATCAGTCATGAGAAGGGGGCTGGCTTAGAGCCCCTTGGAGTGGGGGGCATGAGAGATGTCTCACTTGATCCTTCCCTTGCAGGTTTTCTGGTGGGGCCAAAGGGATGGTGTTTTGGGCTTTCATGAGGCAGCTTTTTTTTTTTTTTTTTTAATGATTTGAAAAGGAAGGCAACCAAATGATGTCATTCCTTGTTTTGCTTAAGTGACAGCGACCAGGGCAGAACTGGGAGTAAGGATGAAAGTCACACTCTTGTCCACACTGTCAAGTGGCCCTAAGCAAAAAGCATATAAATAAAGCTTTTGCGAGAACTTTTATTTTCCCCTCTTATCAATTGATCAGTTTTTGCAAGTGCCTTCATTCTGTGTGTGTAACTTAATTATAAAGAGCAGTGCAGCTGACGCTTTGGGATTTGATTCTTGCAAGAGTACTTTTCTGAAATGGTATTAAAGGATGAGCCTTGTTGTTGTTGTTTAGTTGCTAAGTCGTGTCCAGACTCTCTTGTGACCCCATGGATTGTAGCTCACCAGTCTCTTCTGTCCATGGGATGGATTCTCCAGGCAAGAATACTGGAGTGGGCTGCCATTTCCTTCTCCAGGGGATATTCCTGACCCAGGGATTGAACCCAGGTCTCCTGCATTGGCATATGGAGTCTTTACCACTGAACCACCAGGGGAACCCAAGGATGAGCCCAGGAAGATATTAATCCGTTCATTAATCTACATTTGAGGTCTAGAGGCTGGCATGCAGCATTGCCAGTTATTATGCTAGTTTAGGAAATCCCCAGCAGCTGCAGTTCTAGTTGGCTGTTAATTATCTTGTGCGCTGTCATTTGTGTGTGTTTTTTTGTCCCCAATTTTCCTCCATCTTCTATAGGCACCCATCCCATCACTACCTTAACTCCATCAGCCCCACTGTGCCTTTCTCTGATAGGTATGACTGCATTCTGATCTGTGTTTGGTTTGTCAGCCCCACCTGCTGACCATTGAAATCATTGCTCGCCCACAGCGTTTACACAGCAAAGTGTGGGCTTCTCTGCCCCTCCTCAGCAAGGAGGCCTTTCTGAGTAAGGCTGCAGTCAGCCTCACCTCTGCAGCAGCCTTCAGAGAGGTCTTTGGTACCTCCTCCCAGAGCTAGGAAAGTGGAGCCCATTCATATTTCACAAAAGCTTTAATTATATTACATTTCTAAACATATGTAAAAGTAGAAAAAATAATACCATAAATCCTCATACACTTGCCACCCAACTTCACACCTCTGTCAATTCTTCACTCACTCACCTTTGTGAGTAAGCAAATCTCAATGTCAAGCAACATATAATTTCATCCATAAATACTTCCATATGTGTCACTCGAAGATCATGATTAAAGAAACAGCCATAATGTAATTATTACATCTGAGAAGTTATAATAGTTCCTTTATATAGTCTGATATACAGCAGTATTCAAGTTTTCTTGATTCCATAAATATATTTAACATTTTGTTTGAATCAAGGTTCAGATCAGGTCCACACATTCTACTGGTTTGTTGATATATCTCTTAAGTCTCAATCTATCAATTCCCATCCATCTCTGTTATTTTCCCAGTTTTCAAACTGGGGCTTTGCCATGCCAACCAGGAATATTACAATGATTTTTAAAACACTTTACCATTTGCAAAGTGCTTTGACCTGATTTCCTTTAGTAGCCCCCAATATCTCTTTGGAATCTATATATGAACCGATTTTACAAGTGAGAAAGCGAAGCTTCAGATATTTAATGAGCTTCCCGAACTCAAGCCTCCATCTCTTAACCTGAACGCTTGTGCTCTTTGGGCTTCCCTGGGGTCTCAGTCCATGGGGTCGCAGAGTCAGACACGACTGAGCGACTTTCACTTTCACTTGTGCTCTTTATATGACTTGGTGGTATCGCAGTTTAGATGTATCTTCTCCATTCTCTGCTGCAAAGCATGTGGCACATTTCTTGTTACTCCTTGCCTCAAACAAAAAACCAAAATAAGCAAAAAATTACAGTAGAAGTACTTGCTTGTTTAAAAAAAAAAGATCAAAACAATAAAGAAGTGTTATTACCCCACCCGTACCCTCCACCACAAGAGATAACACCCTTTGATGTGTATTTTTCCAGCCCTTTTCCTGTGTGAGAACAGACCTGCATATGTTATTTTTCTTTGTTTTGCCCAGAAAAATAGAATCGGGCTAATCCATACTTTTCTCAATCTTTCTTGCTTTCACTCACAAGTATCTGGCTAGCTTTCCAGGTTCTGACATACAGGTCTGTGTTGTCATTTTCAGCAATTCCATCTATTTTCATTTAGCTTTACTATAGTGCAGTGAACAGTTCTTTCATAGTAGGGCATTTAAATGGTCTATAATTTTTAGCCATTATAGGTAACATTTTAATGAATATCCTTATGCATATTTTCTTATACCTTTGTCTTGAAATACATGTTTTTCTGAAAGAGCATGCATAGAAGTGAAAGTGCTAGTCCTAAAAGCATGCCTAATAGATACCACTAACTTAGACTGCAGAGAAGTTTACGGTGGTTTGTACTCCAACCACTAATGTTCAGGTGCACTTTTCTTCACATCCTTATTAGCAAGTCTAATTGTGTTTCACCAGTCTGGCAGGTAAACTGCGGTTTGTTTCAGTTTTTATTGCCACTTACTCCTCAGCAAGGTGGTTTATCTTTTGTGTATTAGCATCTGTTTCTTTTGTCATCTGGTTGTTCAGATAGTTACACTTTTTTTTTTCTTCTATTGTACTCTCATTTTTTAAGAGCTTTATGTGGA